ATTTTTACATTTTGATTCGAGGACGATAATTTTGATCAAAATGGGAAAAAAACAATTGCAACATGCATGGTTTGATACCGATGCATCTACGTCATCCTGCCACTAAATAAACCCACAAAAAAAGATAACCTAAGTTAACTTCTCACAGGTTAAATATTAACAGAGCTTCATGTTGGTTGTGCATTCAATTAAAAAGACAAAACTATAAAGACTGGTTTGGGAATGTGTTAGCAGAGAAAATACAGACACTGAGTGCAATGTGGTCAATGTAAGAACATTTGTTGTGAGTGAAGAGGATTGTATAATTTTGATATACAGGATGGCTTGCTTGAAACTTAGAAGGAGACTGCGCTTTACTTGCTTGATTTTTGCAGCAGTAACTTGGGACTTGCTAGAAAAGAAAAGCTCATGACTTAAGACTTGTACATATGTAATTTACTTCTGTCTTTACATAACACAGCCCACAATCACAAGCAATGCATTCGATAACTGAGCAGGTGACACATTGCAAAACCCCAACTTGATATTAAAATACTGTTTGGAAATCAACAAACGAATTATTTTATTGACGACAATTGCATATTTCAATTACAAAAAAACAACTATATGTGTGTGAATATATGTCAGCAATGTCGTAGAACAGTGACCGATATTCCCAATGAACTTTGCCCTACATTTGATTTTAGCTTGCTGCTAAAATCGACGCTAATGCTAACACGGACTGCAGCATTTCTGTGAGTTTCACACACAAGGACACAACTCCAAATAGATGTTATTAAAGTGTAAGAGAGCGGTATCGGCGCCCGAATCATGGTCTAAACTCACTTCTCGGCGAATGAGCAACGAATTAAGGCAAACTTGCTGCTAGCCAGACGTACCATGACAGGAGTATCTGCTAGCTGGGAACATCTCGTCACAACTGGTTAGTTCCTGCTAATGTCTCCTCTTCGTGCACACGAGAAGCCTAAAGCAATCTGTTGTCTGGTGATGACCGACGATGAGGTTATGTAACGGGTACCATCGACACGCTGCAACCTTAGGGAACCGTAGCTTCATAACACTGCATTGGGGAGGAGTAGGGGGCTCAAATCGAATTTACTGCGCAGGCGCAAATCTGGGAACGTTATTAAACAACGACATGATGTGATGGTTTTATTTTATTTGTTTCCTCGCGCTCCGAAGGCAAATCCAGTGACGGGGAGCCTCCACGTGAGTGTACAGCGAAGATATTGAATTGAAGTATGAATTTGAGAAAATGATCCTATTTCCGAAACGAGATAAAGTCATTAAAGACACTGTAAAGTGAGTTCAGTGACTTGTTTGCACAAAACCAATTCCAATGAAGTTGGGACGATGTGTGACACATAAATAAAAACAGAATACGATGCTTGCAACCCATACATGTCTCTCTTTGAAAATGTGTGGCGCATTATGAAGCATAAACTATGACAACGGAGACCCCGCACTGTTGAACTGCTTAAGTTTTACCTAAAGCAAGAATGGGAAAGAATTCTACCTACAAAGCTTCAACAATTAGTATCCTCAGTTCCCAAAATGTTTATTGACTATTTAAAAAAAAAGGTGACAACCCAGTCCCGCTTTTTTGAGAAGGTGTTGCAGCTTAATTTCAGGACCTGCGCTAGCCAATTTGTCGCCCTAAGCATAAATGCTTTGTGGTGCCCCAACGCCACACCCCCCCCCAACTTTATTTTACAAAACAACTTGTCGATATTAATTTTTCAATAACTTTCACAAAAATAAGAGACAATTAAATAATAATTAATATAAAACTAACAAAGGCACAAAAATCTCATATATATATATATGGGGGGATAAAGTGTTTCATTGCACATAATAAATGTTTCAGAAAAGAAGTGTACACAGTTCAATATAAGTGCAATATAAAATAAAGCATTAGCAATATATTTATAGAATAAATATAATAAATAATAAATAGCAAGAGCATAGAAAACACAGCGTAAGGTGGCTGTGCCATTTACAATGGTTACAGGTTTTCACGCATGTGGAACGAGCCACGGTATCTCGCCTTCTTCCAGCGCGGGTGTAACAGTCTCTGGCTGTGTCCCAATATCGGGTGTCCCAAAAAATGTATACACATTTTAGCAGCTGATAACTCAATTATTTATTCTTTCTTTATAGACTGAACCCATTGAACCGAGTTATGGTAACCAGACTTGACTTTGAAGAAAGGAAATTGATTCTAAAATGCTACTGGAAATATTGAAAACGCAGTAGAAATGCAAAGACAATTTAGGAGGAAGATTAACAAAGAACCACCAACACGAGTTCCCATCACTCGAATTAGAGATAAGTTTGAAGCTGATGGAACTGTTCAGGCCGTCCATAAGAAGCGTTCCGGAAGACCACGTACATCGACAAACCCCACAAAAGAAGAAAGATTACTGGAAACGTTTCAACAAAGTCCAAGAAAGTCTTTGTGGCAAGATAGTCGTGAGGTGGCCATGATGTGTGCCATTCCATCACTTCGCATTGTCAGCAGTGTCTGGAGCAGAACGGACATCAGTTTGAGAGCGTGCGATAACAAGACAATAGAATAATATTTGTAAATTCTTTTACATGTTGAAAATTATTCGAATTATAATAAACCCCAAATTTACAATTATTTAAGGTGTGTATAAATTTTTTGGGACACCCTGTATATAGCATTGCTCCTGTATTCAGAAATACAGGACAAAATATGCAGTGATTCTACAGTGAAATATAATTTTGAACCGTGGTACAAACCTTTTCTAAAGTAATTATGCTATTATGTAGGCCTATATTTAAAACACAGGTACATGAAAATTTCAAGATTCTACCTTTATAGACAAGGACTGACAGGGCACTATATAAATATTCTGGACATAATGTGAAAACAGTGAATATGAAAGGGAGAAATCTACCGAGCTTTAAGATCGAGTTTTTTTTCTCCAAATTACAGTTTCACCAATAGATGTCGCTCTTTCCCTATGAACCTCCCAAAAATGTCGGCATAGTCGCTGCATATAAAACAACATTGTGTCATAACATTGCATTTAATTTTCATAGCATAATCAATGTGCAGGTCACAACTTTTCCACAACAGCGTTTTGGGTTGCTTTTAGCGAGCTTGTATCACACAATCGCGACTAGCATGTCTTGAGGTACACAAGGTTTTTTTTTTGTTGTTGTTGTTAGGAGTGGAGGAAGGCCTTTACTGAGACCAACAGATTTACGTCATGTATTTGGAAAGACATCGAACTATTGACTGAACCATGTAAACCAGGTTTTTCTGATTATCGCATTACTGAATTGCATGTAAACGCATCATCTAAACATGGCTGTGGTTATTGTGGTCATCTAAACGTGGCTGGAACAAAATAAACAAACAATTGTTATTTACTTACCTGCTAGTGACACGCGAGACCTGTGATAAATTAATTTGGATTAAAAATGAAAACACCTTTTCTTATTACTTTTAATTTGTCATATTAAAGACATTATTAAAGCCATTACACAAATTAAACACTATAACTCCAACAATTCCACAAACATTGACATTACTCAACTCAACTGTATTTATAGAGCACTCTCAAACAGCCATTGCTACATACAAAGTGCTGTACATTAATTCAAGAACAAGCAGATAAACACTCATGCCGGCATATACAGTAAAATGACCCATACATGAAAGAACACCAGAAACAAACGTTTATATTTACATAATCTGCAGAGAAAATGATTTTCATAGAAATTCATACAAACACAGTATGCTGCGAGCGGAATATCTAATGTCATGACTGGTGTAAAAATACATTATGTTTAAGAGTCCAGTGTCAAAGCCCAGACCAGCTGGGAAATGCAACCAAAAATCTCATAAAATTGTCATAAAATTATATTGAGACATTTTGAAAGCGATAACAAGTATGCACAGTGATGGGTATTGTTTTGTATGGTTGAGTTACAATTAGACAACAACACATACAATTCAAAATCTATAGTGAGCTCGCTCTGTGAGTGACACAATGTAATCCCTGAAGGTTTGAGGACATGACCAGCATAGCAAGTCACCAAAATGTCATTTTTCATTTAATTTTTTATTTGACAAGTTATATTCATCATTTTGGGCTTGAAGTTTATTATAGAGTCTATTGGGCAGACTTCATTTCAATCAACGACAAAATAATTATTTTGAAAATGTCACTTTCTGGATTCCTTCCAGTCCGCTGTGGAGGCATTCCATCAAGCTGAGGTACGAGAGCAGCTGCTTGAATTGCAACAACAAAGAAATTGATTCAATTAACAATGAATGTAAAAATCAATCAAAGTCAAAATGGAACTTTTCCGGAGGCTTCAGTCCACTATCTTGTGGATAAAAAGGGGGAAATGTAATTTCATGAGACTTTTTTTGCTCGTCAGGTTGCACATTAAGAATTTAAAATGCAAACAGAATTTGTAAACACTTAATAAAAAAGAAGAAAAGAACAAAAATAAGGCCAGCAAAAGCCTATTGTAACCTACGGAGCCCTTAAGATTGGAATCCAAAGGGTTGTTATTTTTTTCCTTCTATGTCAACCCAGTGGCTCTGTACATATTTTGATTCACTTTTGTGTTGCAACCTTGATTCCAAAGCAAAAGCCATCGAGGTAAAATACAGCGAACACACCAATGACGAGCACGATTGATCGTGGACGGCGACAACCTGGCTGAGTTTTTCAGCTTGGCTTCAGTGTTGCTGCGGAAAACCACTTTGATAACCATAATTAAAATACCATTCGTTTTCCAAGGCCAGAGTGAAATGAATGGAAATCGCATTTCCTTTCAATACACCCAAATTTATATAGCACTTTCACAACAGCTGCAGCTGTAACAAAGCGTTTTACAAAACAGTTAATATTAAGTCAGCCTAACATAAAAACCGCAAGTCAGGAGAACATCCGTGAAAAAGACGGCTTCATTGGCCAACGTGAAATGAGTCTTTTCATCGACTCAAATGCGTGTAAGGTACCGATGCGGATGGGGTGTTCAAGTTGACCTGCAAATTTCCCACATGGTCAGGATTGTTCAGGCTTGGCACAGGTCTTTCATCCACCATTTCACTTGCAATTGAACGCACAGATTCTGACTCTGGAGCGGATTCACACGGGAACGCTGGGGTCATCTTCCGCAAGGCCAGTTTGCTTGGCGGGGATTGTGTTGGCCCCGCCCCGATGGTCCCCCACCACCGGGGTGGAGTCCTGCAGGGGCCACATTTCCTGCCAGGTGAGCGAACGCTGATGGATGGGGTGACTGGCCACCGCCGGCCTCCGCTGCTTATAGTTGGCCCACACCTGCATCAGGGTCTCCTTGAAGGGACGGGTGGTCAGTGTGTAAAGGATGGGGTTGAGGGCGCTGTTAATGGGCAGGATGAATATGACCACCCACGAGGTAATGGTGCCTGCAGGGGGGAACAAGACAAAGGAGGTACCAGGAAAACCTAATTAGGGAGAATAAATATTGAGTGAACCATCACCCCATGTATTTTAATGCCGCTTGCATTGGGGAGTACCTTTACCGAAGCACTTGACGCAAAACCAATTTAGCCACCAAATGAATCCTTCATATCCCAACAGGGGTTCTCATTAGGAAGCATGCCAAGTAATACATTGGCACGACAGCTAACACCGCTAACCCACGAAAACACACTGAAAGGAAAGCTCTTGAAAGGAAAAGAGGCCCATTAGGACAATGAAGACACACATCTGCGAAAGAGCACTAACACTAATCCTTAAAAAGCACAATCCAAACACTTGAAGCCCCAAAACCAATCCTTAAAAAAACAAACCCAAACATACGCTTAGAACCCTATCCTTAACCTTCAAAACCCGAAATTATCCTTAAACCCAAACCGTTTCTCTTACAACCCAAACACCAATTCTTACAACCCTAATTCAGCCTAATATGAATATTGAAAACCATACCGTTAAGGAACCTTTAAAAAAAATGAAAATTGCAACCTGAAACACCCCCCCCCCAATTAACACCATAAGCCGCCTGCTTGGTGATAAAAAGGTCCCGCTTATTGGAATGCGAATTACAGTGATCCCTCGCTACCGTGCGGTTCGCTTATCGCGGTTTCAGTGTATCGCGGATTCTTCCAAAGTACTGTATTCAGAAAAAAAAAGGCTGAATGACTCTGAGGTTTTGTACATGTCTGTACTGTATGTGCAGCGGACACTCATTCAAGGCGCATGATTGGTTCCTGGTGCGACATCGACCAATGACAGCACTGAGTAGATTTATCCCGGCAGCTGATTGGCTGAGCATCTTCGCAGCCCCGCCCAGCCCCTTGAGTCTCATCACGCTGGTGACTCTCTGGCATACTGTCTCTTCTGTTGTTTCTATGTGCGCGGCGGAGAGAGAGGGGCCGGGTGTGGGCCTGTCCGAAAGCAGCAGCACGTCTTTCTTCGCCTCCTTCTCATCAATACCGATTAATTGTCTTATCATTAACACATCAGCTGCGCGGGGGTAGCTGGCCAGGATCTAGCTGGAGGCTAACGGTGGCTACACCATCAGAGCATCAAATGAGGGCCGCCTTCTACGCCACCAGCACAAGTCTCTTCGCTTCTCTCAGAAGGCAATACTGATAAATGTTAATTACTGTATCAGGTTTTCTAATTAAAGATTTAAGTAAATATGTGTTGTGCTTTAGTATTTGTCTCAAATATGTAAAATATAAATACTGTTTACATATTTTAAACATGCTGGTAACCACAGCCGTCTTCAGGCAGTAGGCGGGGGACACCCTGAACCGGTTGCCAGCCAATCGCAGGGCACACAGAGACGAACAACCATTCGCGCTCACACTCACACCTAGGGACAATTTAGAGTGTTCAATCAGCCTGCTATGCATGTTCATGGAATGTGGGAGGAAACCGGAGGACCCGGAGAAAACCCACGCAGGCCCGGGGAGAACATGCAAAGTCCACACAGGGAGGCCGGAGCTGGAATTGAACCCGGTACCTCTTCACTGTGAGGTCGACGCGCTAACCACTGCACCACCAGGCCGCCACTGTCTCATATATATAAAGTATAAATACTGTTTACATATTTTCAACATGCTGGTACCCACAAACCCTTCCACAAAAATTCCTAGGGCTTGGGCAAACCCTACTTTGCGGATTTTCCTCTTTCGCGGGGGTCTCGGTCCCCATTAACCGCGATAAGTGAGGGATCACTGTATAGGAATAGAGTGTAACAGAATGGTCCATAAAGTGTGCGGTGTACTATACCTGGAATCTCCACCTGCAGCAGGGACAGGATCTTTAGGATGAAAATAGGGATCCAGCAAAGCGAGTCTGTGATGACGATGGAGAAGAAGCGTTTGGCGATGGTCACCTCCTTCTTGATGTGGTTGCTGTACTTGGTGGTCTGCGTGCCCGTGCGCTGGATGTTGTAGAACATGCTGGCGTAGGCCAGCACAATGATCAGGAATGCCACCAGGTTCAGACCTGTAGGGGGTAGTAGAGATGGAGATGCCGCCACGAAATCCGATGTGATCAAATCCCGCTTGGCAGGAAGTGTGCTCATAACAAAAGGACAGATACTGTAATGGTAAAAGCCAGATCAGAAACTGTTAAAACCCCAACTACTAAAACCGTAAGATGCTGATTAAGTCTATCAGCTCCTTTAACACCTTGTTGTATTTTTCAGTATTTTATCCCTTCTTGAGCTCCGGATGGCACATGACTGGTCTCCACTTGCATTTTTTTGCCGGGAGGACAGTAAATTCAGAAGACGAAAGATTTTCAATGGAGAGCAGTGATTAAAATTAGCGTTGGTCAGTCAACATTCCATCCAAGTGAATTTGCATCTCACTTTGATGAAAAGGAGTGTGAAAAGGCCTTAACACCATAGCACAAAACTCTAAACCGTCATCAAAAATGTAATACTTGAAACATATAATCAATCCATCAATCTGTACTCCGAACCCTTAAACTTCCTAAAACACTAACCAAATCATAACAAACCTAATCAATGGCCTACTCCTTAAAACCTGACCCATAACTTATCAAAACCCGAAGACGAAAACCTTAGACAACGTTAAAACACCAATCCCTAAAACAGTACTCCTTGAAAGATTTACTTTTAAAATCACAACCCTCCCTAATCTCATAAATTAATCCTAACACTAACCCTTAAAAGACTAAGCCCTGAACTCCGAAGCATACCCGTAACCAAACTCACCCAAGAAGATGGCGATGGTGTAAATGTGCGCCCAGAGCGTCTCGGGTTGCTCCGAGTGTAGCGGGAAGCACACGCCATTGGTTCCGTAGAAGTTGCGGAAGAGGCCCTTGAAGGCCAGGGGAAGGAAGGCCACTATGAAGCCGAACAACCAGATGCCTAGTAGCACCGTCACGGTACGGCGCCAACCTGGAGTCAGGTAGCGGAAGGGGTACACGATGCAGATGTACTTTTCCAGAGTCAGGTAGGTGAGCAGGAGAACTGACACCTCGGTGGACAGCATGGCCAGAGAGCCGATCACCTGGCACTGGCTGCTGTCCATCCAGGCCTGGGCGTGCTGGTTGTACTCGCCGCGGAACTTCAGGTCGTACGACCCAATCATGAACAGGTAGATGCCCATCAACCCATCTGCACCTGACAAGGGAATGCGGGATGAGTATTCACCAGTAATATCCAACATACGCAGTAGCGGTAGATTTAGTCATAGTAGAGTAATTAAGGAAATCCGTATGAGCACGTATTTGATATCCAACTGGTCTGCTTAATTGTCCATATACAGTACTCATGTGTTCTTTGTCCTCACTCGTAAGACATTTCAGTGCTTATGTAGAGTGAATTGCTCATTAAAGTACCATTAATTAATCAAGAAATTAAAATCAGAATGCTGGCATTCTAATTTTGATCTAAAAAGTGAAAGTATAACTTTCAAGAAAACAATCTCAGTTAAACAATACGCACGATTAAATCTACCTTAGTTTGAACAAAAACAGGGAAAAGCAGTTCAGTTTTGATTATTAAAGGCCCGACATAAAATAGGAGTTGGTTTACTCTGTGTTCAGAGGCCAAACTATTTCAAAACACACATAAATCAGGTTCTTTATAGGGGAATAGTGTATTAACTAACCTACAGATACCACAATTAATAAATGGGGGACAGCGAAGACTGAATTTATGGATAATGAAAATGAAAAAAAAATGTATTTCCACAACCTCTTTCCACTACTGTGAGGTTTTTGCACACTCGTAGAATTATTTTGGCACATTAGTAAAACACCTTTCGCTTGTTAGTGATGTCTTTCCCACCACTGTATGACATTTCAGTGCACTAGTAGGGCTGGAGAGCAGTGGTAAAACAACCACGGCAGAAAGTGCTGGCCATGCTGGCCATTCCCGGCAGAATGAGGGTGTTTTCTTTTACACGTGCCCGGCGCACTTGACAATTCTCAAAAAGACACGAACAATCGGATTGGAAAGGCGATCTCCAAGTGCCCATTTCACAGCAGTGATCTGTGATTGCCACTCGTCAACTTTACAACATCCACCCGACGAGTTCTGCTTGCAGGTCTCAACTGACTTTGCACGTGTCGAACTTCTGCATGGAGTCCGGTGAGTCTATTTTTGCTTCCGCAATATCAAAAACTGTGTGCCTCTTGCACTCTATTTTTAAAGGGTATGAGAGGTGTCGCTTGCATTGGCCCGGGAAGCGAGTTGGCTGTGTTCAGGCCCACAAAAGGGCAAACGTTTGTTTCTAACTGTGCTTATCAGCGAAATTACCAAAAGAAACTCCACTCATGCGCATCACTAGACCACGCTGTTTAATTTGGCAACATGAAATTTGGTATGAATATTTAGGATGAGTAGCCTCACAAAAAATGTCAAGAACACTTGGCCCAAAACATGCGGGAAGGAGGCCATCTTGGTTTTTCGCCGACATTATCGGCTCGTTTCAGTCAGTTCGGGTGCTCCTTCAAAAGCGAACTTCTTCTACAAATTTTATCCGATTGCTACCAAATTTGAAACGCAAATACTAGACACGTGAATAAGGCTAAATTGTGAGACATCCGGTGAAGCTTGATGATCACTGCTATCAGTTCAGAATTTGAACAAATGATGATGGTCCTGTCTGGATGAAAATCAGGTAAATTGTGGGGGAATCTGTGTGACATTTAAAGACGGAGCTCCTGGTATGTGACTAGTACAATAACAGTATTAAAAGTGCAAACGGTCAGACACACAAAGGAAACTAATTTCATGCAAAGCGCTGAAGGTACGAAAGAGGATTTCAAGTTGAATACAGAAGTCACTAGTAAAAGACAAAGGATCAGACTGATGTAAATCGGCAGCTTAAAGATTTTTTTTTTTTTTTGCTAGCACATCCTCGAAATGTGCCAGCCAGCAATGAGCTGACAACTCACCCGTAACGACATCATGTAGAGCTTAATGCAGTGACAAATGTCAAGGAAATGGGGTAAGATAACACATTGGCCTAAGTGGGATGTGCTAATTCTGGCGCCCCCCCCTCTTTTTTTTCTTTTTTCTTTTTTTTAAACAGGCACATACAAAGAGCCAATATGGGAGCTTTCATGATGCAGATAATAAGGTAAAATCGAGCGTGTCGAAGGGATGGCATGAAAAAATACGGAGAAGCCATGAGGACTTAATCGCCCGTCTGCCATGTTAGCCAAGACAAATTGCTGAATACGAAACATTAGGAGGCAATATTGTCTAAATTAGTGGAACAAAGACTGACAAACCCCATAACAGAAGATGTGCACGCAATTCAGTTCACAAAATTGTCTGAATAACACTTGCAGCGTTTGCCACATGCTGCTTCACCTTCACCTGACCCCCCCAAAGTTGGCTCGCAAGCTAGCACCTCAATTTTATAAATGTAGTCCCGAAAGCCAGTGTCACCTTGCTACTGTGACGCAGACTATTTAATTGTAAGTAATTGTATGTAATTGGCAGCAGAACTAGCTGCACCTAGGGTGGCTACACTACATAGAATTTGGAAGGCAGGTCTATCATTAGCCTCATCATCAGTCTAATTTTGCTTCACAAAATGAAAATTTCATCGACAAAAAAGTCTCAAGAAGCCTGCCTCAAAAACTGCCATTTTAGACTCCTTTTGTCTATTTCTTGCTCTAATTTATACTTAATTTAGCTTTACGAAAATGTGAAAAATATTTGTATAGTTTGCATATTCATCTTACTGTTTTTGAACTTTTACAAAGCTAGCCTTGGAACAGGTTTCTTGCTTTGGCCGCGACCGAGGTTCCAAGAAGCCAGAAGGGAGATCCAACCTGGCGGCTGTCAGGAACCGATGCAGCTGAGAGGTGGTCAACTACCACCTGTTGGTACCTCTGGTATCTGCGTGACTCGACCGCCGTACCCGGCAAAAGAGACTCAAGATTAGGGCTCTCGTAGATTCAGGTGCTGACAAATGCTTTGTGGACCCCTGTATTGTTGAAGCTCTGGGTTGTCCCATTGAAGGGTTCGGTGAATGTACATATTAACTGGTTGGGTTTGGTACCTCTAAGAAGGTTGGGAACCACTGGATTAGGTAATGTTATTAGGTAATCATCAGAGCGATTTTTTTTTTTTTTTCTGCCATGTCGTGAGGCTCCTGTGGTCTTAGGTGTTCCATGGTAAAGGATACATAATCCCGATATTGCATGGAACCGGCCATCTATAGAAAACTGGAGTCCCTTCTGCCATGATAATTGTTACAGTCGGGTGAACATGGTAGCGGACCGGTAGCCAAACTAACCCCCGAAATAATTTGTTTAGACAAGACACTCAGCGAGTACCATGACCACGTGAGACATGAGACATTTTTCTTGACCTTTGTTGTTCTCGATCTCGTCCGTAGTCCTTGTTGTCTGGTATTGTTACCCTCTGTGCTTTTGTTTTTTTGCATTTATTGGCTCTTTCGTATCGTTTCTGGACAAGTGATTTTGCATTATTTATTTCTCTTGCCTTTTGCAAGCTTTATTTGTTAGTAGCGCTATTTAGCCCTGTGTTGTTCCCAGCGATTTATCTTGCACTTTGTCGAACTTATTTTGTAAATAAACCTTTTTTGTACTTGATCTTATCCTAGTTTGCATTTGTGGGATCCGCTCCTCTTCCGGACTGGTCCGGAATCATAACAACACAGGCTTTTTTTGTTCCTGTGGTCACAAATGGGTAAGCGTGATGGTATCTGCGTCATCGGTGGCTGAACAAATCATTAGTTTCAAAGGTTTTTCCAGCATGTTGATGCTGTGACACTGAAAAACATCAACTCATAAAAAAAGTTTTAATGTCCTGAAAGGGGAAGCTTTGCATTTTGACTGACAGACTTGGTCTATACGTTTCGTCCGACTGTTACCAAATTTGAACCACATGCAATAGAAACTTAGTACATATTTTTTTCCCCTTGAATGAATCAAAGGGCCACTCAGAGTGTTGGCCCACGGGCTGCCACTTGCCTACACCTGTTTCTCGATCGATGGCTACCATTATGTTGTGAAGAATTTGAGTTTTCATTATTGCACATGGGTGGAGCATGGTAGCCATATTTGATGTCTCATCATGAACCAGAAAACTCCAATACTGTCCAGTAATTCCAAAATTTTGAAAACTGTGCCCCAAACGCCACTTTAATGTAATATTGTAAACACGGTAATCATGATATCCTAAATACACCCCACCTAAAAAGTCTCAAGAAGCCACATCTGAGAAAACACCGAAGGTCTGCCATTTTGGTTTACAAAGCTGCCATTTTAGGCTCATTTTGGGCTTTTGGGGGGGGGCATAAAAGATAATATCTTGTCCGACAGTGTTGGTTGCAAGTGGGTTGTTTACTTTATATATATATATATATATATATATATATATATATATCTCATGATTGTTGTTTTGTAATAGTAGTCATAGAAGTAGCAGTAGTAATCATATTCACTGACTTGATTCAATAATGTTAAGGCCAACTCACAGCAGAGGGAGATGATGCACATGGCGTGCAGCTTGTTCTCCGAGCGAATATAAGAACGCATGCAGATGACAAAGATGTTGCCAAAACAGGTGGTGGCCGAGACCACCCAGACGAAGACCCTCAGCACGATGTTGGCCAGCAGGTCTTCGAAGGATGAGATGCCGTCCGTGTTGGGCTTGCAGCTGCGCACGTGAGGCGCATAACCACAGTACTGGAACTTTTTGAAGTAGCTGTCAAACACAAACATGCACATGGTCAGTTACACACACTCACACACGCACACACACACGCACAGATTCATTGTAGTTAATTGCACGAATAAAAGGTCATCACAAAGTATAAAGCAGTTTGATTGCAGCAGCAGATTAATTTCCTGAGATGAGATTTTGAGAGATACTGGTATTAAGCACCTGCATTTGAATTAGCAGCCAGTGATTTTAAACATCACAAAAATGAATCAAGCTCAAATAGTTCCCAAGGCATTTCATTAATAACGTGTCATGCCCTGTTGGTAATGTCTTCTTTCCGTTCACAGTCTACCTTGCTTAAGTGGTGGGCGGAGTCACTGTGAGACAGCATTTGGATTAACATCTACATCTGACATCTACCTGTCCATAATCAGCAGTGGATTGTATTTCCGTTCTGCTCCAAAGGAAGGAAGGTACTGGAGTACAGTATTGTTCTGCATGCTGTCTTGCTGCTTGCCATTCCCGCATCGCTCTTGTTGCAACCATTGTTGTTGTTCCAGGAGAACTTCAGGTTTGCATGGTTAAAATCACATTCTGATTTTTCTGTTTGACTTTTATCTCTCATCGGTGTTTCTCTCAAGTACTTATGTGATTTTCTGTTTCGCTTTTTTCAAAATAGTTTTTTATCCCACTTCGCTGTTACTTTGCTGGTGGCTCTGTTTCCACCTTTTGTTCATGAGTAATTCCACTTTTTTGGTTCTTGCGATGACGTTTTGTCGCTGATGTTATTGCTCTTTGTTTGCTTGTGTTAATACTTGTTGAATTGAAGCTTGCGTCACTGCTCACAAATACATTCATCTGCGTGTTGGTCATTCCCTGGCTGTAAGCCATAACATCGCATGCCTGGTGACATGTTCTCATTAATATATCCTTCTGTAAAAAATGTAATGTTCAATTCTGTACCCATTTATTTAAATGCTGTTGTATTCATGCATTTGTCCTTCTCCCCCACCCCCGCCCCCTCTGCCAACCTTGAAGAGTACAAGCAGTATTGAGAACGGATGAATGGATGTATTTTCATTTATTTAGATTATGCAATGTCCCTACTAAGCTGCACACATGCGCAATCGCACTCTGTTCTCATACCCTCTGCACACTGCATATTGTATACAGCGCACCTCTACCCGCCCCCCAAAAAATTTATATATATATATATATATATAAAACCTGAGCTGTATTGGCATTTTGCATTTTCACATACACCTCATACAAAGTAATTGAAAGTTTGATTTGGAGCATGTGGTTGATGGAGCGGAAAGAAAAATGCATCAAAAATGATAAAAGTGTGGGAGCATTTCAGACTGAAATGTGTACTGGTCTCGTGTAAACAGTGGCATAGAGACCTTGCTCAAAGACGCCCACTATATTAATTTGGCCATGTCTTGGGTCCAATACGCGGATTCTTTCCAGTGATACTAATGTTAATGTACCTTTTTAATATATCGGTCTGCATGTAACCCTTTTTGCTCAGGATATTTAAAAAAAAAAAAAAAAAAACTGAAATTGCTCAAACTGGTTGAAAACAAAAATAGCTGCAATTTGTTTGACCACATGTCAAATGGAGATGTGGCGTTGTTCAGCTGTCCTCTCATCTCATCAATCCCCTCAAAGGTGATCAGGGAAAAGAACCTCAATGCCTGAGTGAAAATATCTCCGCATGATTGAAGCATTTTACAGCGATTTATGAATGAAGTGTTAATGGCCGATGCGTCCTGCCATTCACATTAGTTCTTGCAACTTAGCGCTGCCTCGCGTTAGCAATGCATGCAATGCGAATTAGCACACTTTGATGGCTGAATCCAGGGCCATCATTTCGATGCCAGAGGCAAACATAGTCGGGCTACACCCCCACCTCCCTCCTATTGCTTAATTTGTTTTTCCCAAATTTGAATTTATGAAATTTAGGCCACTTTGTCCTGCTTTTAAAATCTGTTACAATGATCAAACATCTTCAGTTATCTTACTAATATCTACCGCTAAAGACTTTGAATGTTAATGTTTAACATCGTCTAATCTAAAAATGTGAATTTGAAACAAAATTCACATGTACTGGGCTGGGTAAAGTCTAATATCTTTGAGATTTATTGTTAAACAATTGAAGCATCTCAAAACTTTTAGGGTTATTAGTTATGACATGGTGTAACATTTAATATAGTTGACCATTTTAATACTCATATATTGTGATGAAAAGCATCTCTCATGCCACCATTCACTTAATATATTTTGTATCACAAAATAGCAAACGAAGGCATTATTTATTTTAACAAATAAATCATATATACAGAATTGGCTTTCATTGAATTCTCGACAATTTAAGTTAATTTGAGCTAATTCACGATTTAAAATCCTCAAGCCTTCACGAATTCTGACAAACTTGGGCTCATTTTACTTTGTCACAAATCTCTATTCAATGATATCCTCTATTATCACATAGAGGTAGTTGGTTTGTTTGGGGGGGTTACAACAAGTTCTTACAAACTTGGGCTTATTTTATCCGTGTCACAAATTTCTATTCAATTATATCCTTGATTGTAATACAGTATACGGGTAGTTTTGAATATTAAAATTTTATTATTATTTTTTTTTAATAAGAAACCTACATCCAGTAACTTGATTGATTTCAGGTTTTGGACAGGTGTGATACTGGTGTCGCCACCGTGTGATTGAATACAGTATCTGATGTTGTTCACCGTGGTCCAAGGAATGCTCAGACGTATGGAAAATTAGAGGGAACATTGATTGTATGTGCATTTTTATTTTAGTTATATTTTTCATGTTATTATTTACAATAAGTAATAACAAATAATCAAATGAGCTAAATGAATTTCAAATGTGAAGAAATACTTATAGATCTGTACATTCTTTGTAAATACTATGTCGACAATGTTCCAGAACAAAACATAAGTATACGTGACTGATCAGATAGATTCTAATAAAACCGAGAACAACATCCAAAGAACTCCAGGCATCGTTGGCCAGGTCAGTGTTCACAACTCTAGCAGAAGAAAGACAGGACTTCCCAGGCAAAAATCACTGCTGTCCAAAAAGTACGCAAAGGCTCGTCTCACATTCGCCAAAAGACATCTTGTTGATCCTCAAGAGTTTTGGAAAAACATTCTGTGGACTGTTTTAATAAAATTAAACTTTTTGGAAGATGTGTGGTCCATTACATCTGGTGTAAAAATGGCACAGCATTTGATAAAAACAACATAATGCAAACAGTGAAGCATTGTGGTGGCAGTGTGATTGTCTGTGGCTGTTTTGCTTCCTCAGGACCAGGACAACTTTCATTGATGGGACAATGAATTCTGCCATCTACCAGAACATCCTGAAGGATGATATTCGACCATCAGTTTGAGCCCTCACCTTAAAGCACTCTTGGATCATGCAGTAGGACAACGATCCGAAACACACCAGCAAGTCCACCTCTGAATGGCTCAAAAAAAAAAAAATTAAAAGCAAGGTTTTGTGGTGGCCAAGTGAAAGTCTGGATTTGAATCCAATTTAGACACTGTGGTGTGACCTTAAACAGGCACTTCATCCTAGAAAACCCTCCAGTATGGAGCTGAAGCAATTCAGCGAAGAGTGGGCCAAAATTCCCCCACAGCAATGTGAAAGACTCATCACCAATTATCACAAACTCTTGATTTCAGTTATTGTTGCCAAGGGTGACACAACCCATTATTAGGTTCAGCGGGCTATTACTTTTTCACCGAGGGACAGGTAGGTTTGGATAATTATTATTATTTTTTTGTGCCATAATAAATTAAATTCGCATTTAGAAACTGCATTTTCTATTTCATTGATTTGTGTTTGTGTGATATTAAAATTGGTTTGATGAACTGAAACCATTGTGTGTGACAAATATGCAAAGAACACAGAAATCAGGAAGGGGGGCTATTACTTTTTCACGGCACTGTATGCGCTGCTGATCAAATGCTAATGTCGCCTATGCTAATCTGAGATAGCACTTCAGACAGTAAGAGTTGAATATGGCTTGAAAAATATGCTGGATCTTGACCTATCTTAGCCTCCAGGTCTTCGGCAGAGCAACGTGTGGAGGTGCAGGAATATGTAAATTTGGAAGCCCACAAAATACTGACTTGGTCTAAGATTTCACTATTTGTATATCGATCAATACATCCATCGCGGGCATGCTGGAGCCTATCCCAGCCATTTTCGGCCAGTAGGCGCGGTACACCTTGAACAGGTCACAGCAGTGTTTGTATACCAGGGATAAAGTCACTTTTCGATAACATGTTCTTTGGAAAATTGTGAAAATGTATGAATTCACTTGAAGTTATTTCCAAAAGGAAAAACTTCTCCCATTGAATTTTTTCCCCCTTTTCATATGAATTTCATTGTGATCCTCTTGATTAGTGAAAATATTGGACAGATGAGTGAGTAAGGACAACTTCGTACTCACATGTGGGTTAAGTATTTGAGAGGCTCGAACATTCGTCGTTGGATGTTGGTAATTTCGATGCCCTCGATGCTCCTAGAGCAAAGAAAGACACATGGGGAACATGACTTGGAGACACACAACGGGACGCAAACACGAATATTAACGGGGAAGTGGAATCAAGCAAGATTAAAGTGAATTAAATATATACAATGCACATCTAAATTATATATTTTATTCATAAATATTGTTAATTGTCATTTCTCACACATTTAATTTGGATAAGAGGTAACATTAAAATATGCAATAAAACTACCGAATAAATATATGTAATACTAATATTAAACCATTTAATGACAATGGATTCAATACCATTAAATTAAAAAAAAAATAAAGTGAATTAAATATATACAATGCACATCTAAATTATATATTTTATTCATAAATATTGTTAATTGTCATTTCTCACACATTTAATTTGGATAAGAGGTAACATTAAAATATGCAATAAAACTACCGAATAAATATATGTAATACTAATATTAAACCATTTAATGACAATGGATTCAATACCATTAAATTAAAAAAAAAAACAGTATAATATTGTACACAGTATATTGTACATTGAACAGTAAATCTAAAATAAATTAGATACTTTGTCAAATCATGAAAGGGGGTGCATGCACTAATAGAAATAGGACCACAGCTACCTCAGCTGTGTGTGTGCGTGTGTGTGTGTGTGTGTGTGTGTGGGTGGG